CAGCCAGGCGTGGTGGTGCACATCTGTAATCCCAGCACTCAGGAGGCTGAGGCAGGAGGATCGCTGTGAGTTCGAGACCTGCCTGGGCTACATAGTGAGTTCCAGGTCAGTCTCAACTACATAGTGAGACCCTATCTCAAAAAAGCAAAAAACAAAATTTTAAAAAAGCTGTATAGGGTAAAGGTTATACAGTTCTAGTAACCACATACAACCTGCAAAATCCAAGGAAAGAAGGGTTTCTACCTGCATTTGCTCCATCTGTAAACGGATTAATTCCAGCTGCTGTCGACAAGTACTGAGTTCACAAGATTGCTCTCGGGGATGCCAAGGGTCAGGACTTGGTTGCCACACCTGAGAGGACAGAGGCTTCGAGAGCCCAGGAGCAGGCTGGAGTCCCAAAGGGAGTACTCCACTGCTGCTAGAGTGTGGTCCATTCCTATCAAATACCGCCCCACTGCCTGGCGCCTTCTTGGCCTCAGGTAATACTTTATACAACTCCTTGTTTGGATCAGTTCTTGGATTGTGGAAGTGGATCTGGTAGTTTGGATCTGAATAAAGTGTATCCATAATGGTGGATTGATTGAAGGTAGGTTCCATGCCAGGAACATCGAACTTCCTCATCTCTTCTTCTCTTTCATGGCCTACTGCTGGAAACCAGTGAGACTGCTCAATCCCATTTTCCCCTGTAGCACCACAGAGATACATGAGATCTCTAGACAGGCCTGGAGAACGTTTCACTGCACCAAAGTCTCCATTTCTTGTCATCCCCACACTTTCAGCCAACCCTGACAAAGGGAGTTTGGAGGAAGAGGATCCAGCAGGTGTAGAATTTGGCTTGGCAGGAGAGGTCCCCAAAGTAGAAGGTATCACATGGGCTGTTGGAATGGTTATGTGGCTTTTAATAGGCTGGAAAGAAGGGCTGCCGCTTGAGCTGCAAAAATCTGTGGAGAGAATTAGTCTTTTATAAGTCAAAATTGAAGCAGCAAACTTTTTTTTTTTTGGTACTAGGAATTGAACTCAGGACCCTGCATTTGCCAGGTAGGCGTTACACCACTGGGTTACAACCCCTACCCGGAAGCAAACTTTCTTGAGTTTGGCTGCTGTGCCAGATGTTCTCTGCCTGTCCTTGCACTAGGCAGAAAGGGTACTATTGTTAGAAGTGTAAGGCAGAAAGACATAGCTGCCTACCTGGTAGATGTGTGTTCTAGGATTTCAAATGCAATACACAAGTTAAATCAACAAAAGTAACAATAGCTTCATTTTAAATTTAAACTCTTTTGTACTTGATTTAAAAATCTTGCAGTCAATAAGCAAAGCTGGAAAGTGAACTTAAAAAAAAAATCACTTACTTTAAGGGGAATGAATTAGGTCCTGCTCTTCTGAAAGCTGGAAAACTCCATAAACTATAATCCAATCTAAAAATATCCTTTTCAAGGGGGTGCCAGAATCATCTGTAGCCTTCAAAAGCTTCCCATTGAAAGTGAGCAATGAAACTGGACTATCCAAAGAATAAGGCAAACCAGACAGTTGTGCTCAGTATCCAAGCAGGGAGCACAGCATCTGAGTCAGGATTCTGTTCTCTCTCCTACACCCCAGACCCGACTGCCTGGATATGGAAGTTATTCTTAGTAACTCTCAGGTTTCACTCTAGCACACTGAGCACTCACAAGTCAGTGCACAATAAAATCCTCTCTTTACTAGTTTGTCTTTCACCTCCCCCTTGTTTGTTTTAAATTTCTCCTTCAGACTGCGACTGTAATTCCTATGGCTTCTGCCTGGTCTTGGGAAACAACTCTGATCAGCCTGGCTGTAGAAGGTTCACACTTCTAACCATCTCCAACTTTCAAGTATATTTTAAGGAGGGTTACAAGGTCACAAAATGAATGTACTGGGCCAGTGGGTTGCAGGTAAGATGGGACTGTAAGGTCACATATCTACTATTACTTTTAACAGGTAGAAAACTGGATAATTTTGGATGGTTGCACACATCTGTAATCCCAAAACTTGGGAGACCAAGGCGGGAGGAATGCCACAAGTTCAAGACAAGCCTGGACTACAAAGTGAGCTCAAAGCTAGCCAGACTGCATAGTGAGACAGGTCCCATGATTGTACACATAGAGAATAACCTTAAGTCAAAATTAAATGAATATAGTTGGGCATGGTGGCACACACCAATAATCCCAGCATTCGAGAAGTCAAGGCAGGAGGATTGCTGAGAGTTCGAGGCCAGCCAGGACTACATGGTGAGAGCCTGTCTCAAAAAACAAAACAAATAACAGTATCGTTGATTAGGTAACTGATGGAAGGAATATTACAGTGAAGGCTAATGGTGTAACTCAGTGGAAAAGCACCTGCCTCCTCAGTACAGGAAAAACAAAAACAAAAACCTTACAGTCAGGAGATCAGAATCTAATAACCAGCTGAGGGACCTTAGCAAGCTGTTTAACCCCTAAGGGAATTTCTGTTATTCCCTAGCAACAAGGAGTTAGATTGACTTTTAAAATCCTGTCCACTTCAAAATCTATAGTTTAATTTTATACAATATACAATACTAAGCACAGTTCACATATACTCAGTTATCAAACTATTAAAATTAGTGACAGGTGTCTAATAGTTAGTATTAGATATAGGTTTTTTTACCCCTCCTTTCCCTTTTCATTCCTTTTTTATTTTTCCAAACATTTCTATTCTTTATTTTGTTTTATTTTTCTGTTTTTTGAAACAGGGTTTCACTATATAGTTCAATCTGGCCTTGAACTCACTATGTAGTCCAGGCTGGCTTCAAAGTTGTGGGGATTCTCCTGCCTTGGCTGCCCCAGTGCTGAGATTACAAGTGGGCACCACCACACCCAGCTATTCTTTTTTGCCATGCTAGAGATCAAATACATACTCTCTACCAAGCACTCTACCACTGAGGTATACCCCCAGCTCCATTTTTTCCTTTGTGGGTTTTGTTTTGTTTTGTTTTTTGAGATGGGGTCTCACTATGTAGTTGAGACTGACCTGGAACTCACTATGTATGTAGCCCAGGCTGGTCTCGAACTCACAGTGATCCTCCTGCTTCAGCCTCCCTCGTGCTTACAGGCATGCACCACCATTGCCCGGCTGTGGGGTTTTTTTTTTTTTTTTTTTGGTACCAGGGATCAAATTTGGGACCTTGTGCTTGCCAGGCAGATGGAGGAACCACTGAGCTAAATCCCCCGTTCCATTTTCTTGAACAACTTTGAGATGTAATTCATATACTATAAACTCACCCACCTAAAGTGTACAATTCAGTGGTTTTTAGCATATTTATACAGCTGTGTAATTATCACTATGATCAGTTTTTATATTTTCATAACTCCAGAAAGAAACCTCTTACTCTAACAACAGACTCCATTTCCCCTAAATTTCCCAGGGCATTCACCTATTTTTGGACATTTCATCTAAATGACCATGCAGTATATAGCCTTGTATGCTGGGCTTTTAAAATAATTAGTATACTGTTAAGGTCATCCAAATGGCACCATCTGAGTATTTCATTTCTTTTTATTACCAAATAATATTCTATTGTATTGTAGAGATACACTACTCATTTGTTCATCAGTTGTGAACATGTAGGTTGTTTGTACATTTTCACTGTTATGAGGCTACTATAAGCATCTGTGTATAAGTTTTTATGTAGATTTATGCCTTCATTTCTCTGGAGTATATACCTAGGAGTATAATTATTGAGTCATAAAATATCTTCACATTTAACATCTGCAGAGGCAGATTCTAGACCATCCTGGCCAATTTAGTGACTTAGTGAGACCCTATCTCAAATTCTTAAAATTTTTTTCAAAGGGCTGGGAATGTAACTCCATATGAAGACCCTATATTTATTCCCAAGTATCAAAGGGGAAAAAGAAGTGGCAGATAGTAAATATATAAGAACGCAAAAAAGGGGATTTAGTTCAGTGGTTCTGCTACCTGTCTTGCTGTCTTGTAAACGCAAAATGCTGAGTGCGATCCCTGGTAAAAAACAAACAAACAAACAAAAAAAAAAACCCAAAAAAGATCAGCGAGGCATGGTGGCACATGCCTGTAATCCCTGCACACTGGGAGGCTGAGGCAGAAAGACTGCAAGTTCAAGCCTAGCCTAGACAACCTAGCGACTTAGTGAGACCCTGTCTCAAAGTGAAAAATAAAAAGGAAAAAGGGCTGGGGATGTACCTCAGTGCAAAGGCCTTGAGTTTAATCCCTAGTACTGTTTTAAAAAGTTATTTCAGGGGCTAGGGATGTAGCTCGGTGACACAGTGCTTGCCACCATACTTGAGATCCTCAGTTTGATCCTGGCACAGCAAAAAGAACCACAGACTAGGTGTGAGAAGTATTAGTTAAGAAGATTCAAGCAGCCAGGCATGGTAGTGCCTGCCTGTAATCAGGCAGGAGGATTACTGCAAGTTCAAGGCCAGCCCAGGTTACATATCAGTTCAAGAACAGCCTGAAATGCATAGTGATACCTTGTATAAAAAAACTAACCTTACCTTCTGCAATGTCTGAGCATGATGTGCCAATGGCCGTGTCCCCACTATCAGCTACACTTGAACAGCGGCTGAAGCGGCTCCGAAAGGCCTCTGAGAGAACTGGGGTCTGCCATTCAGTCCCCAGGGAACTTCCCTTCTGAATCACATTAGAACCTGAAACAAGAAGCATTTTCACCTTTTGTGTGAACTAGCTGAGATCATTTTTTAAAAATCATTTAAACCAATGAGAAAATAGTAGCACACACCCCCTCTCCCCTGGTCTTTCTCCTGTGCCTACTGCAGCTACTTTGAGGTAGCAGATATTAAGTGAAAATAACATGAGATGTGAGAATAATCAAAGACAGAAATAAGACCTACCAAGGATCCAGAAGTACTGGGACAACAAATAATCATATTTAATAGCAGGTACTATTACCACTTCTTAGCCTTTTGGCTAAGATCAAGTATAATAGCAGGTAGTATTTATTTATTTATTTATTTTTTACTTTTGGTGGGTGGGCTTTACTGGGAATTGAATTTGGTACTGTAGGCTTGCGAGGCAGGCAGTGGATCCACTGAGCTAAATCCCCAGCTCGCAGGTACTATTTATTGAAACCTAAGACTTTACAAACATGATCTCACCTACTTAATACTTATTGGTAAGTATTATCATCCCTGTTTACAGAGAAGAGTTGAGAATCGAACCCAGGTCTGACTCCAATTCTATTCTTTCCTTTGCAGGGTCTTTTTATTTTCTTCTGTCTTTCCTTTCTTTTTTTTGAGACAGGTTCTCACTAGCTATGTAGTTCAGGCCGGTTTTGAACTCACTATGTAGTCCAGGATGGCCTCAAACTCACAGCGATCCTCCTGTCTCAGCCTCTCAAGTGCTGGGATCACAGGTGTGTGCCACTATGCCTAGCTTCCTTTATCATTCTGAGCATGACAGTTCTTCAGCAAGTGGGCTATACACTACAGAATGCTTTATCATCCCTGGTATCCACCCATTAAATGCCAAGCAACTTTCATCTAATCCTACATCACTGTGAAACCAGAAAACACCCCATACATTTCCAAATGCTCTCCAGTGTAACAAACAACACAGTTGCCTATTGTAAACCATCTGTTCTCTGAACTAAGTCCTTCTTGGGACAATCTAGTTCCAGGTGAGATTGAAAGTCATTTGACAGAGTTTAAGGCTTTATCTTAAGGGAATGCAAAGAAACCACTAAAATTTCTCAGCAGGCAAGACTAATGAGATTTATCTTATTTTAGAGCTTGCTGTTTGAGAGTTAGAAGGCAGAAAGTATTCAATAAATACTTGATTTAAGCTAGGCACAGTGGCGCACCCCCGGGATCCCAGCATTCTGGGAGACTGAGGCAGGAGGGTCTAAAGTTTGAGTTCAGTTTATGCAACTTAGGAAGACTCTGGCTCAAAAAAGTTTTAAAAAGGCTGGGCATATAGTTCAGTGAGCAGGCTGTGGTTGCCCTCTAGTACAAAAGAAACATGGTTTATGAACATTCTAGCAAAGACTTCAAATTATTTTTTAAAAACCATTCTAATTTTTCTAAATCGTATTCAGTGATCCTTGAAAACAAACAAATAATGGCAGCTACTTATCTTCCATTTAATTTAAACTGCCAAAGTTTAACTTGAAATCCATTGTTATTATTATTATTTTGTTGTTGTTGTACCGGGGATCAAACTTGGGTCCTTGTGCTTGCAAGATGGGTGGCGGAACCACTGAGCTAAATCCCCAGCCCAAATGAAGTCACTTCGTTTTTTTTGTTTGTTTGTTTGTTTTTTGAAACTTGAAATCAGAAAATAAGGTTCTACAGACAGGTGTGGAGGCGCACGCCTGTAATTCCAGATCTTGGGAGGCTGAGGCAGGAGGATCGCTTTGAGTTTGAGACCAGCCTGGACTACATAGTGAGTTCCAGGTCAGTCTCAACTACATAGTGAGAAAAAACCCCAAGAAAAACCAAGAAAAAAAAAAGAAAGAAAGAAAAAAGAAAACAAGGTTCTACAGATTCTTTGATCTAGTAGGAAGCAAATGACACTTGAACAAAAATTACTACCACATTCCCTTTCTCCCAAGTTTGGTGCTTCTCCCATCTTTTAAACCTACTTTCTTCTACTTTTGTTCTGGTTTTGGCTTTGTTTTTTTGTTTGTTTGTTTGTTTTTTGGTATTGGGGATCAAACTTGGGACCTTACACATGACAGGCACCACTGAGCTAAATCCCTGGCCAGGTTTGGCTGAGACAGAGTCTTACTACATAGTCCAGGCTGGGTTGAGACAGGGTCTTACTACATAGTCCAGGCTGGCCTCGAACTCTCCATGATCCTCCTGCCTCAGCCTCCTGAGTACTGGCATTACAGGCAAATGTCATCACAACCAGCCATTCTAAGGAGATATCTGTTGAAATAAAAATATGTTTCAGGGCTGGGGATTTAGCTCAGTGGTGCTGCTGCCTGCCTTGCAAGTGCAATGATCTGAGTCTTGCCTAACATGTGTAGGACCTTGGGTTGGATCCCCAGCAGCACATACACACCAAAAAGTTTTGATATATTTAGTTGAGAGGCTTGTGCTTATTTCAAAATTTAAGTTTGACAACTGATTTTTTGATTAATTAAATTTTATTTTTTAAGAGACAAACTCTTACTACACTGCCCAGGCTAGCCTAGAACCAAGGGCTCAAACAATCCTGCTGCTTTACTTTCCTGAGGAGCTGAGATTAGAGGTGCATACCAACATGCCCAGTTTACACTAAAATTATTTTGTATTATAACACATATACTATCAGTAGCATCCCTATCAGGCTGGAGACACAGCTCAGTTGTTGTCCACTGGCCTAGCATGCTCAAGGCCATGGATTCCAAAGAAAAAAGTAGCATCCTTATCAAATACTAAGATATTTCTTTTGTCATAGCATAACCTTTTTAAATGTTATTTTGTTTTTTGCATTGGATTTTGAACTTAGGGCCTTGCACATGCTAGGCATATACTCTACCAGTGAGTTACAGTCCCAGCCCTTTTGACTTTCAGGACAAGATCTCACTAAATTGCCCACGTAGGTCCTGAACTTCTGATTCTCCTACCTCAGCTTCCTGAGTAGCTGGAATTACAAATATTGTTCCATTCTGTCTGACATAAAGACTATTATCGTAAAAAGATACCACCCAGGGCCAGGAATTTAGCTCAGTGGTGCCACTGCCTGCCTCACAAGTGTAAGGTCCCAAATTTGATCCCCATACCAAAAAAAAGATATCATTGAAAAGAGACATAGTCATCAGGGCCAGGGATTTAGCTCAGTGGTTCCACTGCCTGCCTCACAAGCACAAGGACCTGAGTTCGATCCCTGGTACCAAAAAACAAAAACAAAAACAAAAAAAACACCCCAAAACAAAAAAAGAGACATAGTCATCAGAAAGTCAGGTAGCTATGTTAAGAATTACTATATTTCAGAATCTCTCATTGATGAGTGTAGCAGCACACACTTGTAATCCCAGCACTCAGGAGACTGAGGCAAAAGGATTGCCAAAAGTTTGAGGCCACCCTGGACTACATAATGAGTTCAAGAGCAGGATGAACTACAAAGCAAAACTCTGTCTCAAAAAATTCCTCTTATTAACAGCGGGGCATGTGCTCGCTTTGGCATCACATATACTAAAACAGCTGGGCATGGTGGTGTACACCTGTAATCCCAGCACTTGGGAGGCTGAGACAAGATCACTGTGAATTTGAGGACAGCCTCAGTTACACAGTGAGTTCAAGGCCTGCCTGAAATACATAGAGAGACCCTGTCTCTAAAACCAAAACAATCTATCCCCAGGACTAAGAAACAAACCAAACAAAAAAACACAAAACAAAATTTAAAAAACCCTGCCCCTACATATAATTGTCATAAGAAACTAAAATCCAGCTGTAAGACTTCATGCCATACAGCAAATATTCAATAAGTACTTACTGAACAAATCTTTGTGCATGTGTATGGCATTAGGGATTGAACTCAGGGCCTTCAGACTAAGCTATATTCTTAGCCCTTTTTTATTTTGAGACAGGGTCTTCATTAAGTCAGTAAGTTACTCAGGCTGGAATCAAACTTGTGATCCTACTGCCTCAGCCTTCCAGAGTGCTGGGATTATAGGAGTGTACCACACCATTCCAGGCTGCTGAATAAATCCAGAATTGATTCAACACTTAAAATAGTGCTGCTGTCTGAAAAGCACCAATCCTAAGAGAATTATCACAAATATATATTAGATATCTACCAGGAATTCGGCACTGTGGGATTTTTAAAGTTCAACAAAACTATACTTTGTTGAATAAAATGTGTTCTTCTCTTAGCTAAGCACAATGGCATAGGCCTATAATCCTAGCAGTCTGGGAGGCTGAGGCAGTAGGATCATGAGTTTAAGCCCAGCCTGGGAAATTTATACACTTATCGAGACTGTCTGAAAACACAGCCCAGGATATAGCTCAGTGCAAAAGCTCCAGGTTCAATCCCCAATAATGAAAGAAAAAAAAAAGTTTCCCTTTCTTAATACCTCAAAATTCTAAGATTATTTTTTAAATGCTATTTGAAATATACCTCACCTACTAAATGTCTACATATGTATTTACATAATATATTTAGTATATCTACTGAGCTCTCAAAATCTTTTAAAAAATTTTTATTAGTACATGTTTGCAGTACATAATAATTACATTCATTGTGGGGAGTTGGTACATGATCATAACACATCTTAAGTCTTTTTACTTCCCCTTCTCTCTTCTCTCCATTTGTTGTTTCCCTTCCTCAAAATACTTTTTTTTTCAGGTTTTTGAGACAGGGTCTCACTATGCAGTTGAGACTGACCTGGAACTCACTATGTAGTCCAGGCTGGTCTTGAACTCACAGCGATCCTCCTGCCTCAGCCTCATGAGTGCTGGGTAGGTGTGTGCCACCAGGCCCAGCCCTGAAAATATTCTTAATCTATTTTAGAGATAAATTCCTGAGTCTCCTGTGCCAGCACAAGAACTGCTGACATTCAAGAATTCCAATCTTCACCACTCCTCTTCGATATAGTTCTGGAAACATTAGCCATAGCAATTAGACAAGAGAAAGAAATTAAAGCAATAAAGATAGGAAAGAAAGAAGTTAAACTGTCATTATTTGCTGACGATATGATACTTTACATTGAAGACCCAAAAAACTCTGCCAAAAGACTTCTAGGCTTTTTTGGGGGGTTTTTTGGCAGTGGGGATCAAACTCACTTGCAAGGCAGGTGGCAGAACCACCGAGTTAAATCCTTGGCCCAAGACTTCTAGACTTAATTGACACTTTTAGCAGAGTAGCTGGATACAAGGTCAACACCCAAAAATCAATAGCCTTCTTGTACAAAATAACGGACTCACTGAGAGAAAAATTAGGGAAATAATTTCTTTCACAATAGCATCCAAAAAAATGAAGTATCTCAATCTAACGAAAGAAACAAAAGACCTCTACACTAAAAACTACAGCATTCTGAAAAAAGAGATTGAAGAGGATATAAAAAAATGGAAAGATATCCCCTGCTCCTGGGTAGGAAGAATCAACGTAGTGAAAATGGCCATACTACCAAAACTGCTATACAGATTCAATGCAATGCCAATTGAAATTCCAACGCTATATTTCACAGAACTAGAAAAAAGAATCCAAAAATTCATTTGGAGCCATAAGAGACCTAGAATAGCAAAAGCCATCCTAGGCAATAGACACATGGCAGCGGGTATAACAATTCCCAATTTTAAACTATACTACAAAGCCACTGTGATAAAAACAGCATGGTGCCAGCAAAGAAACAGACCTGAGGATCAGTGGAACAGATTGGAAGACACAAAAACAACTCCAGATGTACTCAGCTACCTCATCTTCGACAAAGGAGCTGACCGTCCCCACTGGAGGAAAGATAGCCTCTTTAATGAATGGAGTTGGAAAAACTGGATCTCAACCTGCCAAAGATTAAAACTAGACCCTTATCTTTCACCATGCACTAAACTAAAATCCAAGTGGATTAAAGATCTAAATATTAAAACAAACATTAAACTTGCTGGAAGATAAGTTAGGCAGAACTCTTGAAGACATGGCATAGGAAAAGACTTTATGAACAAATCCTCAGTAGCATGGGAACTGTAGAAACAATCAACAACTGGGACCTCATCTTATTAAAAAGCTTCTGCACTGCAAAGAAACCATCAACAGAACTAAGAGATAACCTACAATGTGGAAAAAATTTTTACTAGCTGCTCCTCAGACAAAGGACTATTATCTAGAATATATAAAGAACTCAAAACAATCATCAGCCACCCCAAATATAAAGACCCAATTCAAAAATGGGCATCTGAAATGAACAGACATTTCTTAGACAAAGAAGTAAAAGCTGCAAGTAACTGTATGAAAAAATGTTCCACATCTCTGGTCATTTGAGACCAGAAAACAACACTGAGATTCCACCTCACCCCACAAAGAATGGCTGCTATCAAGAAATCAACCAATAACAAATGTTGGCGCGGTTGTGGGGAGAAAGGAATCCGTCTCCATTGTTGGTGGGAGTGTAGGCTGGTACAACCACGATGGAAATCAATATAGAGATACCTCAAAGAGCTGGGACTAGAGGTTCCACTTGACCCAGCCATCCCTCTGCTGGGTATCTTTCCAAAAGAATTAAAAGAATCCTACCACAGTGATATATGCACACCTGTTTATAGCGGCACAGTTTGTAATAGCTAAAACTTGGAAATAGCCCATTTGCCCATCAGTTGGACACTGGATAAAGAAGATGTGGTTTTTCTATAAAATGGAATACTAAAGAATAGCCATAAAGAATGAGAAATTAGAGTCATTCATAGGAAAATGGATACATATTGAGGCTATACTCCTAAGTGAAATAAATAAGTCACACATGTGTAAAAACCGAATGGTTTCTCTGGTGTGAAAAACTGTAATAGTACATAAGATCCTAATGAGATAAATGACCATGTAAAATAGGAAGAAAAGGGCTAAAGGTATAGGGAAAGTGGGAAGGGTAGGGGAAAAGTAATAAGGGAAAAGAAAAAAATGAGAAAATGAAAAAATGGAAATAAAGTGTTTATAAATGGGGAGGGGAGGAGGGGGTGAAGGGAGGGCAGGGACAAGGGGAAAAAGTGAGAACCAAGACCTGTCATGCAAAGGTACAAGATCCCAATAATAAATGTAACTGTACTGTATACCTAAAATGTACCAATAAATTCATTAAAAAAAAATGAATTCCAATCTTGTGTGGGCCAGCAGATGACTGAACAACCCAGAACACAGTAATTTATGCTGTTTTTCTAATTTGAAATGGAACTATGTTCCAAAGTTATTCTGTTTCAATTTTTTATGTGTCTTCCCTTCCCAACAATCACAAGGTCTTATTGGAAGCTACGTAGGACCAGAGATAAATAACTGTTCTTGCAGAGAGACCTGTTCTTATAGTCAATGTAGTCTCATGTTATCTGTATTGAGTACCAGCATTTCAATGAATGCTTATGTAATTAGTACCCTTAAGGAACATGAAATATAAGAAAAGTCAGAAATTAATCCAGAAAACTTTGACGACTCACCTGATGAAGTAACATGAGATGTCCTCTCATTTGGGTATTTCTCTTGCATGGCCATGTAAAATTAAGGAATAACTGTAAAATTAAAGAATAACCCATCAGATCTCTCCAGTATTTTAATTTCCTGTAACTCAGTTCCCATTCAGCTGAAACTGTCAAACTCATTCTGAGGCTATATGAATTAACAAACTAAGTTTGTTCGTACCACAGCTTACTTGTTCTTACAACATGCTTCTAACATTAGACTGGGGGTGCGGGGTGTTTCCCTCACATATCACACAGGTAATTTTGCAGAGGACACCAGCAGGGTATCTTTTTTTTTTTTAATAGCAAAACACTTACTGGTACATTTTAGGTATACATAATGATGACATACATCATAGGGAATTTGCACCTGTAATGATACATCCCACCTCTTTTTCCCATTTCCCCTGCCTTTAGGCCCCCTCCCCTATGTACAAAAGCTTTGTTTCTATTTCTTCCTTCTATTTTCTCTCTCTCTTTTTTTTTTCTTATCTCTTGCTTCCTTTCTCCCCAGCCAGGTATCTTTTAAATTAACCAAATTATTACATATATCTATCTGGAAATAGTGTCAGATCCAACAGACTGGGGATTCAGTCCCACAAGACTATCCCACCTCAAATACCAACTGTGACTCTCCTCTCAGTTGTTTTACCTGCGCTTTTGACCAACTAGCTATAAATCAAGGTTTCTAGCCAAGCATATGCACTTTGGGAGACTGATGTAGGAGAATAACAAATTTGACCCTAGCCTGGGCAACTTAATGAGATCCTGTCTCAGAAAGGGAGGTGGGGGATTAGGTTGTAGCTTAGTGTGAAGGCACTGGGTTTCCAGTACTGCAAAACACAAAAACTTTCCATGGCCCCCTCCCTCTTTGGAGTCTACTAATTTGCCAGAGTAGCTTACAGAACTCAGGGAAACCCTTTAAATATACTGGTTTATTGTAAAGGACACTAAAAAGGGACACAGATAAAGATACAAAGGGAGAGCTAGGGATTTATCTCAGTGGTTCGGGTACTTGCGCCTGCCTGGCAAGCACAAGGTCCCAAGTTCAATCCCTGGTATTGGAAAAAAAAAAAAAAAAAAAAAAAAAAAAAAAAAAAAAAAAAAATACAAAAGGCAAGGCAGGTAAGACATGCTATAGAGGTTCTATGCCCTCCTGGCTATCCATCCTCTAAGAACCTCTAAAAGTTTAGCTTTCCAGAAGCTCTCCCAACCCTGTCCTTTTTGATTTTTATGGGGGCTTCTGACTAACTAGCTATATTATTATATTGAGGCAATTCTGATTAAGTCACTATTCAACATAACCTTTGGCCACTACTGACCCCAGAAGTTGGGGCAGCAAGCCTCATCCTTCTAATTCTGTCTTAGTCTTTCTAGTGACCAGCCCCTATTCTGAAGCTACACAGAGAAGGTCAGCCAACAGTCAACATATTAGCATTCAAGGATTTTATGGGTATGCCAGGAAACAAGGTGAAGAACAATCACAACTATACAGAATATTCAAGTATTCTTCCACTTTTACTCCTCCAAGTATTTTAAAAAGGAAACAGCCAGGCATGCTGGCACACACCTGTAACCCCAGCCTTTGGGAGACTAAAGTAGGAGGATCATTGGAAGTTCAAGGCCTTCCTGAACTGCATGGCAAGATGTCCTCTCAGAAAGGGGTGGGGGAAAAGGGAAGGGGAGAGACAGGATAGGCTAAGAGTTGGCTCTTATCCTGCTTCTCTTCTTAAAGCAAGCAGAGAAAACCCAGAACCAGGGTTTCTCAGTGTGGGTCCCAGAACCCTTCCCATTATTACAACATTACAAAATAGTATTACTTTTAATTAACCTTCCTATGAAACTTCGTACTATGGGGTACCTGATGCTCTGGTGGGAAGCAAAAGGAACTAAAGAAATAAAACAACAGTGGAATATTATAGCCATGATTATGATTTATATAAAACAAACTCCCAGGTTCCAGTAATGAAAATCACATGTTACACAGAAATATTGGTCATAAATAAAACTCCAATGCTTAGCTGGGAACACATGATTTTCTTCCCATTTCCCCATCTCTTAAAACATTTAAGTTTAAGGGTAGAGGCTGATAATTCAGCAGAGATTAATTACTGTATGTGTAAATAAAAGCTTTACTACAACTAGCAATGACAAACAGTATCTTATATCTGCATACTTGAGAGGCTACACAGTGAAGTTCAGAGCACTGACTCAGATCTGACTTGATTTGAAGCCTGAACAAATAAACCTGAGCACACTAAATTTCCAGTTAGCAAATTATTAGCTGTGTAACCTTGGGTAAATTTCTTAATATATCTTTGCCTCATCTTCTTAATATGAAAATGATGAATAGCTGGATCACAGGATTATAGGTTATATACCTTCACGCTGGGCTAAGAGGTATGAATTTAGAAACTCTGAATTAATAACCACTCCAAAAGAATTTGGGACAATTCACAGAAAAATTTTTAGAGGGGAAATTCAACTTTGAAAGAAATTTTTTATAAGATTAAATAGTACTAATTCTCTAATGTACTTTACTGACCTCTACAGTCTTATCTTAGTAACAACACAACAACCCTAGTGGTCACTAATTCACTGCTCCTAGAAGTAACAGGCTACCATCCTCACTTCTTTACATACATACAAGGTGAAAGAAACTTTGTTCAGTAATAAAAACTTCAACTTATGGCTAGCATCATTTATGGCTACACAATTTATAGCTAAGTTAATGATAACACAAGATGATAAACCTACCTACTATAGATTCCTTTCCTGATATCAAAATCCTTTCCTTGCTAGGCTTGGTGGAGTAAGCCTCAAATCCCAGCCACTTGGGAAGCTGAGTCAGGAGAATCTCTAGTTTGAAGCCAGCCTGGGCAACTCAATGAGCTCCTGTTTTTAAAAAAGAGTGGTGGGGTGGGATTTGGTGGTTTCCACTTCCAATCAATCCCAGCACTCTGGGAAGCTAACGCAGAAGACTGCAAGTCTAGCCTTGATGACTAGAAAGATTCTACCTCAACAAAACGGGGGAAGGATAGCTGGAGCTGGAGCTCACTGTCAAGGTTCTGGGTTCAATCCCCAGTACCACAAAACAAAACAACAAACAACTGGGAGGCTGAGGCAGGAGGATCACAAGTTCAGACTCATCCTGGGCAACTTAAAGATGCAGGGAGACTGTCTCAAAGATAAAAACAAAACAAAACAACAACAACAAAAAAATCACAAACAAATCCAAAAATTAAAAATTAGCTGGAGATGTAGCTCAGTCTAAAGGTCCTGAGTTCAATCCCCAGTACTGCAAAAAGAACAAACACAGTTTCTTTACCTTTCTTTAAATGTTAGCAAAAAGCTGGGGATGTAGCTCAGTAGTACCACACCTGCCTGGCAAGTGCAAGTTCAACGTACAAAAACAAAAACAAAAAAAAAAGTAGGCCCAGCAGATTCAGACTCTTCCAAATTCAGATGAGTTGGGAACAAGGTGACAAGAAAACTTCTAGTTACCCTATGACTCAGTAATTCTATTCTTAGGTGTATCACGATCCATGTGTATCCATAGAGAATTGGTTCTATGAACTCTTATAGATACCAAAATCCATAGATGCTCAAGTTGCCTGACACAGAATGGCATAATTGTATATAATACCTATTAAGGTATATAATACCTTTTAAGTCATCTCTAGAGGCTAGGTAATGTAAGTCCCAGCTACTTGGGAGGCCAAGGCAAGAAGATCACTTGAGCAAAGAGGCTGAAGCCAGACTGGGCAATACACCCTCATCTCAAAAAAACAACAACACATCATCATAATATCTAGATTACTCACCATATAGAATCCAATATAAATGCCATGCATACTGCTTAGGGAATGATGAAAAAAATCTGTACATGTTCAGTACATATGCATTACCCCTCTCCCAGTATATTTTCAATCTACAGTTGGTTGAATCTATCGATGTAGAACTCACAAACATAGAAATGTAACTGTGTATTCATGAGAAATGAACATTTATGTTCACACAACAATATGTAGGTGAATGTGAACAGCAGCATTTACAATAGACAAAAAGTAGAAGCTGGGCATTGTTGCACAGGTCTGTAATCCCAGCATTCTGGGAAGCTGAGGCAGAAGGGCCCAAGTTCAAGTTCAGCCTGGGCAATTTAGCAAGATCCTGACTCAATATTTTAAAGAAGGGCTTGGGAGCTGGGTGTGATGGCACATGCCTGTAAAGACTTAGAAGGCTGAGGCAGGAGAAATGCCATGAATTTGAGGCCAGCCTAGGCTACAAAGTGAGTTCAAGGCCAGTCTGGAATACACAGTGAGATCCCGTCTCATAAAACCAAGGGGAAAATAAAACACAACTGGGAGGCTGGAAGTGAAGTTCAGAGCAAATGTTCTGGGTTCAATACTCAGTACACAATGAAACAACCAAAATGTAAATCAATTGATAAAGGATAGATAAAATGTGATATATACCCATATAATGGAATATTACTTAGCAATAAAAGGAATGAAGTACTGATATATGTTACAACATAGATGAATATTAAAAACATGCTAAATGAAATAAGTCAAACACTGAAGGCCATAAACTATATGATCCTACTTAATATGAAATGTCTAGAAAGGCCAAATCTACAGAGACAACAGATTACTGCTCACCAAGAAATGAGAGGAAGGGGTGGGGGGAAGAGATTGGCTATTTATGGATATGTGGTTTTTTTTCAGGGTGATCAAATATTTTGGGATTAGATGGTGGTTAACAGTTAAAAACTGTGAGAATATACTAAAAAACTACTGAATTATACACATATAAGATCAATTTTATGGCATGTGAATTATATCTGTTATTTTAAAAAATACTCCCAAAATGATACATTCTTGACTTTTTCCTAAGTTTAGAATTAATTGAGCAACTAGTAGAGATTTTTAGGACCAACTGAAGGACACAGAGATGTCCTAGGGCAAAACTGAGAGAACTGAATGGAAAAAGACAAAGAAAAAAAAGTGTTTGATTTCTATATTCAAAAATTAACATTTATGATTTATCAAGCACAATGTTACATACTTTATAGGTATTGTAGCTCACATTTAATACAACAACCTATAAGGCAGTTACTATACATAGTTGTTATTGTTGGGTTGAGACAGGGTCTCACTACATAATTCAGGCTAGCCTTGAACTCACTATGTCACCCAGGCTAGCCTTGAATACACAGCAATCCTCCTGCCTCAGCCTCCCAAGTACTGGGATTACAGGTGTGCACCACCATACCTAGGAAGGCAATTACTACGAAACCCTCATTTTATGGATAAGAAAATGAAAGCTTAGACTGGTGAAGACCATACAACTAGGAAAATGCTTTAAAGCCAAAACTGTGACCTAATACTTTAAGTGTGTAGTCTGTGTATGACAAAACACAGAGAAATGGAGGAAGTTAACGAAGGCATCACCAAGTCAGAGTTTCTGCCTCAGACAGCCAGAGCTGCAAACCTCAAAGTCAGGATCAGGGACAGTCATAATTCTCGTTTCACCCCTGTTCACCGCTCAGGTTCTATTTCCTAAATTGCTAACCAACAATTGGATTTTCCCTGTTAGAAATATTTCTCTTCTTGAAGAATTACAATCTTAGGGTGGAATGTCACACACAGCAGCTGTTGAGAGAACCACATCAAAACAGGAGTGGATTTGAAAGGATATACAGGCAGCTGACAGATACATTAAGAATCTCACACCAAGCTGGGTGTGGTGCTACACACTTGTAATCCCAGCACTGAGCGAAGAGACTGGGGAGAAGAACTGCCAAATTCAAACTCATCCTGGGTACTTTGCAAGCCCCAGTTTCAAAACAAAAAAATTTTAAAAAGGGGGGCTAGGGACACAGCTCAGCAGAACAGAGCCCTGGGTTCAATCCCTAGTACTGAGAAAATCTCATATCGTCACATTATATTCATGGCCTTCGTTGCTCATTAAACAGTGTAAAAGAAGATAAATCCTTGCCAAGAAGCTGTCTTTACAAAGAATATGACTTTGGGTGAAAGGAGGGTACGGGTCTGGGGAAAAAATAAGAACCAGGACATACCGTGTAAGGCACAAGATCCCAATGATAAATGTAACTGTATTGTTTGTTTTAAATGTACCAATAAACTTAATGGGGAAAACAAAAAACAAACAAACAAAAAAGCCCCAAAGAATAAGACTATGATTTTCTGCTTCAGCCTCCTTAGTGCTGGGATTATAGGCATGTACCACCACACCAGGCTCAAGGTCAAGATCCAGTTATCCTAATTATCCTTAACCTAGCACATTGTATTCATCAACCAAAATTTACTGAGTACCTATTTGCCTGGCCATTTATGCCACAAACAGGAAATGTACTGGTGTAAAAGAAAGACATGGTTCTGTTCCACTTGGTTTACTGGGGTGGAGTGCATAATATGCTGTTAGACAATATACCTGAACACATTAAACTTCTAGTTCATCCAAAACACATGCTCCTTTTTGCTATGGCAACGCTCCTCAAGTTCAGCACTACTGATACTTTGCCTCAGCTAATTCCTTGAGGAGAGAGGGAGGCTGCCCTGCACACTGCCAGACGCTTAGCAGCATCCTGGATCCTTCCTACTAGGTTTCAGTAGCCATCTCTGACTTGTGACGATTAAAGATGTCTCCAAAAGCTGTCAGATATTCCAATAAGCAAAATTACCCTGGCTCTACACATCCCTCCAATCTCAGCTCACACCCCGAGTACTCAGGGACGCCTCCTAAACCGCCCTGGCGCGAGTCTAGGGACTTCCAAAGTGTTGCCTGCCCCCAATCTTTTTTTTCCCTGTATTGACCTTTTTGAAAAAAACAGCCCGCCGCCTCGCCCCGCCCCGTGTTGGGGATCGAACGCAGGGCCTCAAGAACTCTAGGCAAGCAATCTAACCTTCCCAGTCTCTTAGATCGGCGCCTTGTTTTGTGTTCTTTGTAAAATCTCTCCACCCTATACTTGAGTGCTGAGAGTAACATTCGCTTAACGTCTGCGACTGGGACTGTGTGCTCTCGCAGCGCAAGAAAGGCGGCGCCCTACACAAACGCTGTGGAGGGACTGACAAGGACAAAGCAAGACAAGGAGGCGGGGAGCGACCCGGCTACTAGGGGCCGGGCATCTTAGGAGGCTGAGGGTGAGGGTGAGAGACCCGACGGAGGGGGGGTGGACCCCGCAGACACTGCGCAGGCGCGCTCCCCTGTCCCGCGTTCCCCACGGAGCCAGGTCGCTCCGCCCGAGCAACACAAGGAGTGGCAGGGTGTGCTACTCCGACGGGGGTCCTGAGGAGGACTTACCCGGGCCTGAAAATTGGCTGTAAAAATCTCTCACTCAGGGACACTGTCTGCGGCCACCACGTCTGCCTCAGGAGGCGGTTGAGTCCCTCAGCTTGACTAACGGCCGTTACACGCGCGCCAGGCCGCAGACCCAACAGCGCGCGCCCCTCAGCCCCGCCTCTTTTTGGTCTACCTCGGTCCAATCAGAAGTCAAGCCGCGTGAATTTCCCGCCCCTTTTCGCCCACCTCTGACAAATCGAGAGTGCAGCCATGCCGGTGTCCCGCCTCTGCACGCTGTGCTCGGCGCTTGCCTGCCGGATCGCTCTGCGCATGACCCCACCGCCCCATCGCGTTCTACTTCGCCCTGTGCAGTCCTACCTGGAGGCTGAGGCGGGCAGGGAGCTGTGGAAGGGCGAGCTACGGCTGGGCAGGTCGTGAAGCTGGCAGCCAGGGCACGTGGCTGTCTCACCCTTCTTCTCTCTTGGTGCCACCTATCTGTCCGCTCTCCTGAAGCAAGGGCTCAGATTGTGACCAGGATTTAGGATGGCTCCTGGGTCACTGGGCTTAGTCTGTGGCTGGGCTGTCAGCTTGAATGAACCTGGCTTTACAGGATGAATGAATTCAGGAGATATTCTCTGAAAGTAGGGCCTGTCGCCAGATGTGGTGGCGCACGCCTGTGATCCCAGCACTAGTGTGGCAGAGGCAGGAGGATTGCCATGAGGTCTCACATAGTAAGACCCTGTCTTAAAAAAAAAAAAAAAAATCAAAAAACAAAAAAACAACCTGTTAATAACTTATGGCTGGCTGTTTGAACGATTTCACTAGCCACTTTCAGACCCTCATAAATTTTTGTCTTTTGCTCACACACACACACCATGGAAGTGGCTGAAAGTTGAGTGTCCCAACTTGATAGCTCCCATTTCTTTTGTGAGGAGGTAGGGGACAGGGACATAGATTTAAGAATAATGGGAAAGATGTAAAGAGATGCAGAGACAAAAACCTGGCTGGAGACCGTTGAAAGGTTGAGATTTAAATTTACAAATGGCTACCAAGAGTCTTTATGTACTCCTGTGATCTAAATTTAATGGGGAGGCTGAAGCAGTAGGCTCCAAAGTTCTTCAAAGCCAGCCTGGGCAATTTAGTGAGACCTTGCCTCAAAATAAATAAATAAATGAAGTCTGGGGATGTAAATCAGTAGTAGACATTCCCCTCCTTTAAAAAAAAAGTACATTTGTATAGTTTTCTATAGTATAAAAACAACTCCATTATCTACTACAAATTTTCAAATATGAATGAGTCTTTATATTTTAATAGACTTTTGGCTCTAATTTTAGAGAATATTCACAATCAATTTTTAGGTATTCTTAAATTTTTGGTTATTATTTTTAAAGGACTTGCTGCATGTTTAATAAAATATGTCAGTAAAACTACGTCACGATATGACTGAAATAAAAGGTCTGGATTTGGCCAGATATGTCTACCCTGATTTAAATTAAGTGCCAATTAGTTATAATTAGATCTACTGCTTTCATAAGCAAAATGTTGCCTGATACTTTATTGTATTGTTGCAAGATTTAAGAGATAGGAGAGATCACTGGGAAAAAGGAGGATTTTATTCTAGGCTTAGGTGAGCACCGGCTCAATGGACTAATGTCCAAAGGAAGAACCTCAAATAAAGAAAAGTTCCAGTTTTCATACATTTGGTCAAAGTGGGGTGGTCTTTCTAGTGACATAGCAAACAAGTTTACATGAAACGAGACAAGAACACAGTTTTTAAATTTAGCCTTGAAAGAAGACAGAGCCTTGTGAATCTTGTGAGGAAGATGACATAAACTTTGTTTACAGGTCATAGTTACCAATTTTATCTGTACAGGAGCAAGGAGTTACAGTTATAGGTGGTAGTGGTGTTTGGGAGGACCTACCCAAGGCCAGAAAAACTTGTTTTTTATTTTTTTAAGTCCTGTTTTATATAAGCATCTGTTATTACACAACACCAAGTCTTCTTGAGCATGGTCAATTAAGTTTAAGCTTAATATCTTCCTTGTTCACTTATTTTTTTTGTTTGCTTTGTTTCTTTAAGGCTGGGTTTCTCTATGTAGGCCAGCCTGGCCTCAGACTTGCTGCGATTATCCTGTCTCAGCCTCCTGAGTGCTGGGATTGCAAGCATGCACTACAATACCTGGATCAATTTGATTTTAAAAAATTCTATTTTCAGGCTGGGGATTTAGCTCAGTGGTTCCGCCGCCTGCCTTGCAAGTGGAAGATCCCAAGTTTGATCTCCGGTACCAAAAAAATAAATAAATAATTAAAAATTCTATTTTCTTTTTTAGATAGTTAAGCATAGTGTTGTTAACATTTTACCTCGTCCTTCAGGATGTCTTTTAAATTTCAAATAAAGGCAAGGATTAAGGCCTTCAGTAGAAGCGCTTTTTTTTTTCTTTTCCCTAAGATGGTGTAAGATACCCAACACCTAGTTTAAGGAAGGAGAGGTTTAATTTGATTCATGGTTTTGGAGGATTCAGTCCATAGCCGGCTGGCTGCAAGGGAGAAACAACACAGTAGAAGGGCATGGCAAAAGAGAACTGTCAACTATGGCAGGCAGAAAGCAGAGAGAGAAGAGAGGAGCTGGGGACAAGAACTATACCCTATCAAATCTGGACCCCAGTGGCCACACCCCTCCTAAGAGAAATATCTGTTCATTTCAGTTTCCCATTTTTTTTTTCTTTTTTTGGTACCGGGGATCGAACTTGGGTCCTTGCGCTTGCGAGGCAGGCCACCGAACTGCTGAGCTAAATCCCCGGCCCCAGTTCCCCATTTTTTGATTGTCTTTTATTTTGGGTTATTACCCACCCCCCTGGACTAGGGATTGAACGTAGGGCTTTGAACATGCTAGACATGCACTGTACCACTGAGTTATATCCTCAACCCTTTCTGTTTTTGAATCAGGGTCTTGCTAAGTTGCCCAGGCTGATCTACAACTTGCCATCCTCCTGCCCCAGCCCCAATAGCTGTCATCCTGGCTTTGCTGTCATCTCTTTAGGGCAAAAATGTTTTCAACTGAGCCCAGGGAACTCCACAGATTCCTTGAAGGGATATGAAAGTCACTATTTGTTGGGAGAAAGCAACCAAGTAGGATATTTCTCTTCCCACAGTCAGAGTGGCTGTTTGTTTGTTCCTTAGTTCACTCCTTTGTTCACTCGTTTGTTCATTGGTCTTGCTGTGTAGTCCAGGTTGACCTTGAACTCATTTTGTAGCTCAGCCTAGCTTTAAACTCACGATTTTCCTGCCTCAGCCTCACAAGTGCTGTGATGACAGGCATGTGCCACCACACCTGGCTCCCTATTAGCTACACTCTTATTTGTATCTTTTTTTCTTATTTCAGAAAATAATTCAAGTTCATTATAGAATGATTGGAAGAAAAATACAGGCAAAAAAGTCCCATCTGCTGAGCTACCCACTCTTACTGCCTTGTTGCAAATTTCCCATAAAATACTTTCTCAAAATATGATAACCCCCACACTGGTTCAGTTGAAAACAGTTTTTGCCCTAAAGATGTGATAGAATATATTCCACTTTATACTTCTAGTATAGAGCACTTTGTACCAGGCTCTGTACTAGAAATTCATGTCGATTTTTCTCCTAATCTCACAGCAATCCATGGCACAGCTGATATATTGTAATCCCCATTTTACTGACAAGGAAACTGAATCCAGAAGAGCACTCAGTAAAGCAATGAAGCAACTTACCGAAGATCATATGACTAGTACGGTGGCGTGACAATTCCACAGCTCTGTGCAATTTCCTACAGAGTCTATGATTCTATCCATCCTAATGGATCATGCCAGGTGTGGGGGGTACTGATACCCCTGGGGTACTCACCGGAAGTTGCTGTAAATGTCTAGTCACTCATCCTTTGTGATGCAGATGAAGAGGGTGTGCAGGGTAAAGCTTATGTTCTTGAAATGTTTGGTCATGAACACACCAAAGAGTGTACCCCCAATCACTGAAAACACCTGCCAGAGACCAACGGCCCACCCTAACTTCACCCAGAGAAGACAGGACATACCCATGAATGCAAATGGATGCAAATAAATGCTGCCAAAGGAACTACAGAGATGTAGACCCATAAGCCTCTCTTGTCTACACTCTTCCCTCCCGCAGAGACCCAGGGCTCTGTTCCGGGAAGGGGAATGGCTAGGGTGGAGAGGGGCATTGACAGCATGAAAAAGAATGAACACCCTGCTGTGGGCCCTGTCTAGTGCCCACAGCAGGATGATGCTGTTGATCCTGGCCAGGGGCTCTACTATGATCACCAGCCTGTGGCAGAGCCTCTCAGGGGTACCCCTTGACCTTGCCCAGACTCCTCCCTCCTCACTGCCCCCCACCAAACTACTGAGAGATGCAGACCTGAGCCTCAGCTGGTAACAACTCCCTTCTCATTCCTGGGGTCCAGACAGGTGCCCCTCTCTTCTCCAGACTTCTCAGCTCACCTGAGAGTGTAGGTAACAGAGATAATACTGACTTCCTTAATGAAGAGCCCCCAAAGCAACATAAAGATGATAACGAAGTTGAGAATGTTCCATCTGTCCTGGGAGGAGGATTGGGCCAGTCCTAGGGAGTCTGTGAGGCCCAGCCCATGGGGGCATTCTAAGTTTACCTCCCCACACCCCAAGGTTAGGGGGTCACTGTCCTTAGAGCAGGGCCAGTCGGCCATCATCCACAGCTGTCACCCTATCTATCATCCCCAATTGTTCCACAAAACACATCTGTGCTCATGGTCCCATACGTGTGTCAACAGCCAAGTGCAACCTCAGAGATTCACAGAGAAGAGACTCAGGCTCAGAGACTCACACTGAAGATCCTCCTTATATAGTCACACTTAGCCCACTTTGGCTAGTGGACTGCAAAACACTGCCTTGTAGGCACACCAGTAATCCCAGCACTTGGGAGACTGAGGCAGGAGGATTGCCATGAGTTCAAGGTCAATTTGTACTACATGGCAAGACCCTTTCTGATAAGAAAGAAAGAAAGAAAGAAAGAAAGAAAGAAAGAAAGAAAGAAAGAAAGAAAGAAAGAAAGAAAGAAAGAAAGAAAAAGAAAGAAGGGAAGAAAGAAAGATTGTCAGGATCTAGTAAGTAATAAAAGCAAAGTGCAGAACAGCATTTATAGTA